AGAGGAAAACCAGTTAAATCTTTGACTTAAAATATTTATTGCTCGCGATATAATTTTCCATTGTAGTTTCCTATATTCATTTTTATTGTAGAAGCAATTTCGATGTATTTTCCATGATTACGTAACTGACATATCATGAAAAAGTTTAAGCTAATGGCAACTACAAATTATTATAGTCATGCGATGTGTATTGTGCAACTAACTACATTAAAATAACAAGAGGATGGCATATACTTTCTTAAGTCAATATTACTGCACCTTAATGTATTTTGTATCTCTTTTCAACAGTGGCGATGAATCAAATTGTAAAAAACCGAAAAAAACTAAACTTAGAATTAGGTGCAGTAAGTGCTCGAATGCTTTTCACAATATGCATGTGCCCAGCAATATGAGTATTTCACTGAAAATGCGAACAACTAGTGTACACGTACAAAAAACTTGCAAGTGCAGTAGACTGGTCGACCCGCCGCGATCTCTTCCCTATATTTGATGATTGACGCTAGGCCCGCAAATTGTTTTATCAATCCTTGCACAGAGAGGATACGGCGGTATTGGGCCTGACTCTCTACTTGATCATTTATTACGTATATTTAGGCCATTCAAAGAAGTGCTCTAGGCACTTTTTTTACATGAAGTTTTTTAATTAATTGTAAAACAAAAAATAATTAGTTGTTTATAAATATATTAGATAAATCTCTCAATAGTAATATTCAGAAAATAATGTAACCAAGTGACTAGTAGATACAATAGAAATTTATGTGGCTGGTTGTTCTCATGGTTCCAGTCTAAATAGTTCCGCGGCTTATTATTCAGGTGATGTCTATAGAAGCTAACCAGCGATGACGCTGGACTATCATATACAAAGAGGTCCTTCGAGGCATTTTTTGCACCAGAAGATTTCTATTAACTGTAGACCTTTTCGTTTTTCTTCTTGAAATGTAAACAAAAGAAAACCCATTTGAACAAACATTAAGAATGGGAAAAGGGCTTCCGCTAGAAACGTAACCAGACGGAAAGCGAATGAAGAGGAAGAAAAAGAAGATGGAATCAACTAATGAAAATTTTTTGCTTAATAAACAGAGCCATTTATATGTGTATGTGTTCACAAGAGAAGTCAATGGTTTGTAGTTTAGAAATAACTTTAACCAAGTTGTTAAAATATCAATTCGTTTGGAGATAACATTTTTCATAATATGTCTAGTGATTTGATTGGCAGATACAGAAGCACGTGGTTCCTGTTTGAACGCTTTACTGAAATTAATTCTCATTTTTATGTTTTCGTTCGCCAATACTTACCATCGCTTAAGTGCGTCGTTAAAGGAAGTCGTCAACTTTTTACGCTGATTGACTCTAGGTGATCATCAAACAATTTAATTTAGTTGAGAGTTAAAATTAAATATATAATATAAACAATTTTAATATTCGTTGCCTAGTAGTTGACGTGGAATCCTGTACACCACTCTAGCCTGTAAAAATTGGTCCATAAACTTTTATGCGAAATAGTTTGGATGCCGAAACAATTAACGAAATTTGAATTATTATTATTAACTTGGTTATTTTGGCAAAAGAAATTTCGTTGTAGCATTTCTGACGTTGTGGAGAAAATACAATTTCCCTGCTGTTTACTTTCATTTCAATTTGTTTACAACAACAAAAAAGAGGCATCAGTATACAAATTAGTGAAATAATTGCAATAAGGCACATTTACGGCTGTTTTTTGTTGTCTCCATATGAATCGGAAACATATTTGAAGTTTGAAATGTGATGGATGTAGGAGATGTGCATGTCGTGCATTCGTCTTTACTTAGCGGTGTGCCTCGTGTAGTTGATTGAAGCAATGATGTTATTTTTGAAAAAAAAAAAAAGCAGCTAGGAAAACAGAAACAACAAAACGTGCTCTACATAGAAAGGCAAGTATGAAAACCTTACATGTTTTACATATTGGAAAAGTAGTCATCTGCAACATTGACAAACGACGGCCAGTTCAAAGTGCAAAAAGCACTACGGCACACGTTTTTTAGGGCATTCTCAACGTTTCAGAATCACTGTCCTTAAAAAGGACATGAATGTCAAATGGTAAAATCGCTCTGATATGTTATTGGAATGAGTTTAATTTTTCGACGCGGTTTTTCTTATAACCGCCGCACCAAATGCTGCCGTCTGCGTTCGATACTCCGAGTAAACTGCACGTTGTCAAAGACGACTGCGCTTCTAAAGGGAACGACGCGCGGGACGCGGACGTCGTGTGGCGTCTGCCCCACCCTAGCAGCGCGATCGCGCGCCACATTGATCTTAGCTATTGACTACGACGCCGAGTTTTATTGTTACCGATGTCGTAAACGGAATCTGAGATGTTCCACAGGGATCCAACTTAGGCCTCTACTAACTATTTCAACTCCAAACACCATTCGTTTATTGTCTACACGACTGGGGGAGCCCAATTCGCAACAATATTGCCCACAATTCCCATAAAATTTAAAAATTAATTGGACCAATTGGAAAGAAGAAAATCTTCCGATTTCCCGAAGACAATCTATGTAGAACAGTAGAGGAACGACCTCTTGCCTAATCTTCATTTTTCCATTTTGCTAAGGTGTCCAAATGACCTGTCATCCTACAAGTCTAAAATTTTTTGTTGCTTGCTGAAAACCAACGCAGCCAAAATCATCAGTAGATATTTCTTCTAATCCTAGTTCAAGGCGAGTTTTAAACGTAAAAGCATTCAGTTTCGAAAACATATTAAATGCCAAACGTTTGACTGGATATCGGTTTCTGCAAAGTTTCCTTTGAGGGTAAAATTCTTTTTGAAGGGTGCGCGATGTACATCCATATGTATGAATCTGAATTCCAGTTTGAGAGTAAGACATCAGCTCGAAACAGCTTTGGCTTATTTACCTGCTTGCTCTTTAATCTAGATTCTAGAGAGCATGCTAAATTAAATTTTGCTAGCGCCAACTGGTAGGGGAAATCCTACTTTTACTGACTATAATACGTCGAGTCCTTTGCACAAAGAAACCCGCAATTAGCTAAACGAATTAGCTGAGTAGGGATGTACGAACTAACGTGATTTTAAAAAACCACTGCACAACGTTTACGGTAATAACTTAAGTTTCAATTCGCTTACAGTTACGGACTGCACGGTTTCTTTTTAATAAGATTTAGAGCGCCTTAATGTAATAAGATTGTAGTTTTTAACCCAATACAAGAAATATTCTTTAATTTTGTAATTGCCACCATAATATAATGATAATTATTATTATCAAATTGTCGTATACGATTCTTTTACTATTGTCGTGCATGAGTTTTAATT